TCTAGGCTTGCCGGGTGCGGCCAGCAGACTCGGCCACTGTTCCAGTTGCCCTCTCTGGGCCTCAGGCTCCCCTCAGTAACCGGGGGCCTGATTATCCTCTAAAGCCTTCTCAGCTCTCAGAGCTGAACGCTGGGGTTCTAGACGCATTTCAGTCTCCTTGGGTTCACTCGCCTCCCCACACTCATGCTCACACACACCGTTCTTGCAGCATATATGCGTCCGCTGCACGTAAAGGGAAGGTGGGGGGACGGATCCTGGACACAGAGGTATTCGGAGCCTTCTTGCCTCGAACCACCCGCCCGGAATTGCTGCGAGGGCTGTGGCAATAGGCTGCGCCGAGGCCTTGGGTGGGCTTTTCTCTCTCTTCGCAAGGAAGCGAAACGAGGGACGAGATGGGGGTGTCCCTGCCTCGAATCTTTGGACCCTAATCTGACGCCAGCATCTGGGCCTCTTCCCTGCTCTCCCCGCAGCACCCTAGCAGAGTGGCCCAGCGCGCTGGCCTCTGGCAGACACTATTTGCCTGGGACCAGAGTGAGGCCTACAGCAATGTCCAACAGACTCAGGCAGGCTCGGGGACTCTCTGGCCGAATGACTTGCCAGCCCGGAGCTAAGGAGGTGCCGCTCCCCGCCGGTCTGGGACGACCTAAATCCGTCCCTCGCCTTCAGCCGTATGCTGGATTTCCCTCCAGCTCTTGGGTCCTCAACCCAGCCACGGCTTTCCAGGCCCTGGGGTCTGGGAAAGCAAAACAAACCTTTCTTCCCAAAGCCCGGGTTCGGCAGATTCGCGGCTTCCGGCTCCCTTGGAGGTGTCCCTCGCTACCAGTCCTTGAGCTGCGGGGCCGGGCCCTAGGACCTCCAGCCGGGAGCATCCCTGCTCTCTGGGCCAGGGCCAGGGAACTGGCTACCCAAGGTCTCTGGGCCCCCCGCTCTTCCCCCTTAACTGCTTTGGGGATTTAGAGACAGACAGACACGGCCAAAGGCATTGGCGATGAACTCAAATTCATGGTGCAGTGGTTGTCTCCCAGCCCCGCCTGGAGGACGTCTCAGGCCTCGCCCCAGGAAGCAGCGCTCGGAGGACTTTCCTCGGTCTTCTCTCCGGTTCAGTTACCGGGGGGGTTAGACCCGTCCGCGCCAGCGCGCAGCGCTTCGGGTCCGGACCAGCCCTCGGGCCCCAGGGCGCAGGGTGCTCACTGCAGTCCCACCCCACTCGGCGAGGTTGCCCTCCTTGCCCAGCCTCTCAGCCCGGCCCCCTTCCCAGTGAAGCCTCAGCGAACCTGAGACGCTGGCGGACATCTCGCTGTCGCTCCGGCCTGCGGCTTCCTCCTCCAGGTCCTTGGCGGCGGGCAGCTCGCAGACCGGCTGGCCGAGGCCCAGGGTCTCCCCCGCACGGCTGGCCCCGCGGGCCCGCGGCGCGTCCGCGCAGCGCCGGCCGCCCTCGTTCTCCTCACTCAGCACCGAGTCCGAATCCCAGCCGCCCGGGCTTTCCGCGGTCCTTCCCGCAGCCGTTCTGGTCCCAGCAGGCGACGCCAGCAGAGAGTCCTCGGCGCCCCCCAGCGCGCCCGCATCTGTCTCCCCAAAGAGCCGCCAGCAGCAGACAGCGGGCGCCGCAGCCACTGCTACCGCTGTGCCCCCGGGCACCGGGCGCCCCTCCAGCGCGGGCAGCCCGCCGCGCTCCTCTTTCTTGTTGAGGATCGCCTGGATGGAGAAGGGCGTCAAGGTGTTGGTGCCGCGCACCGCCATCTGCGCCGCGGGCCGGAGCGGCCCGCCGGGCGGGCGGCGGGGGCGCGGGGCAGCTCGGAGTTGGACGGAGCGCGCGGGCCGCCGCAGCGCGATTGAGCCCCGCGCGCGAGGGTCCTGCAGCCCACTCCTGCGCTTCCCAGGAGCCCCCGCCCCGCTCTGGCCCGGGATCGGCGCCGACCCTCACCCCCACTTCCGAGGCCCTTCCCGCCAGGAGACCCCTCCCTCCCAATCCAGCGCCAGACGCGCTCCTTTCGCAGCTCAGCTGGATTATCTCATCGCCTCGCGTCCTGAGAGGCGGGCCGGGGTCTGCCCTCTCTGAGGACGGAGAGGGGGGGATCGGCGGGGGCCCCTTCGCGCCCGCAGTCCCCTCTTAAGCGCCTCCGAGGCGCACGACCGGAGTCACTTTTTCTTTACGCCTCTGCCTCTTCCCCGCCTGCAAAATTTCGCTCCTGGCTAGTCTTCTCCCTTCCCTGCTGGGCCGGCTCTTCCGGAGCCCACCCCGGCGGCGGCGGCCGCTGGATTCCGAGAGGCCCGGGGCACCTTTTTACCCCCTGCCCTGGTTTTATCTGTTTCTTCTCTCTTTCCTTCCCCAGCGTTCCACCGAACCCCCCCCTCCCTCTCGGGTGTCATTCCTCACCACTGAGTGACAGCCCTAGGCCACGCCCCTTCACTGGGCTGTCCCGGGCCCAGCCGGCCACCGATTGGTTGGCTCCTGCTGGGCGACGTTAACTTTAACAGACAAAACTGGGCACTTTGCGCAGAGAAAGTCAGGGTCTGACTTAACCCCTTTCCTCCCAAGCATGGTCCTCGAAGGATCCTCCAGCGACAAGAAGACCCCACGCACGAAGAGGCGCTGCCCGAGAAACCACAGTTCTTAACCTCGGTGGATGTATCCACCTATTCCAGCGCTTTTATGGAAGACCATAGCTGAGTCAAAATGGGAGGTGGGGGGGTGGCTGGGGGGAGGGGCGGAATCCAAGATAACACAGTTCCATAAATCGCGCGTGTACTTTCTGTTCTCTAGGAAGGTTCATAGATACGAAAAACAGAATGCTTCTCGCCCCCCACCCCTTAGAGTTTCACGACTTCTTCACTGCTAATTCTCTTCGCTGAAACCATCAGTTAATGAAAATCATTTTAGATATTTCTTTCCTCGCCGTATTTAATTTGATTCGATTTCTGTACAGGAATTAAAAAGAAAGAGATGATACAGTTAGAACTAAAGTCAGGCAAGAAATTGGAAGGCATCTTTGGGAGAGTTTCTGGAAATTGCGAGATCATTCCCTGGGCTGTCAATACTGAATTTAGTTGGGGTTAGTTAAATTTTACACTAGGAAGAAAAAAAGAAGCCTTTCATTTTTTTCTTTAAATGTTGTTATTTGTGAGTTAAATAAGATTAGAAGATATATGTTTGTTTAAAGAATATCTAGGAATCACCTTAGTAATGATCCTGAGCTGACATTAAATACTCTTTAAAAAATAAGTAATGCATTGTTTCCTGTAAAAGAAGGAACCAAGCTAAGAAACACAAATATTGTGGGTATATCAAAACACTTGTGACTTATTTATGTTGTTTATTTTTAAATAAAAGATTTGCTTCAGTAACATACTTTACTGTCTTTCATAAATTTTACCCGAGGTTTAACTTAACACCAAGTACACAACTTGAACCATTAAATAAGTGTAAAGAACTGTGATTTTAATTTAGTAAATTGTGGGGATTGGTGTTTTTGGTGTCACTAAAATAAATAACATTTCCCCTTGTTGCTTTCTTTTTGGTGGTGCTTGTTCTGCACCGCAGGATGGAACACACCCACTATTCACAGTTTTCAGGTTCAGTGTGTATGTGGGGGGGGCTTTGCAACATCTCTACTTTCCAGCATTTCAGCCACATTATGCGTTTTGCATCCCAAATACAAGACAGTGCAGATGCTGTAGTGTATTTGGAGGAAAAAAACTCCCACTTCAAGAGGTCATTGCCCTTTATAGCTCTTTATGATGACATCAGTTTTTGAGGGAAAGGTGTTTAAATTTGGTGTCAGTACCCGGAAAGTGTAAGGAACGGGACGCTCTTCAGGCCAGGAGGGGAACAGAACAGAACGTTACAAGGTTTCCAAGGCAAGCGTGTCTGTTCCTTCCTCTCCCTGACCTTTATTCGGTCTCTACATCACCCCTCCCCCACCACCCTAAATCGAGGAGGAGTTTGACACAGGTCGCCCAGAAGGTGAGAAATGGGCAGGTGTGAACTGTGTGTCGCAGACGGCTATCCCTTCGTGGGGTTAGGACTTGGTGTGGACAGATAATAGCGTGAGTCCGGACACACAGGCAGGCAGAGATGTTTGGGGGTAAATGAGTATTAGAGTTAAGTTTGGGGGCTATCCAAAGACTGACTTGAAAAGAATAACTACCACTGAGTTGCCCCCCATTTTTAATGAGCCCCAAAACATAGTAGTGTGTACCCCTTGCCACAGGCTTGGGCAGAGATTTTCCAAGCGTGAAGAAAGAAGAGGTTCGGTGATTTTGAGTTGTCCGCTTTTTGTGTGCCGGGAGTGGAACAGCGTGGCCGCATTCGGAGTCTGCAGGAGGCGCCGCGCCTGGGAGGCTGGTGTCATCTCCGGCAACTGCGGCGGGCAGTCGATCTTCAGGTCTGCTTCAGGGCTGCGGGCAGGGCCGGGAGTTGGGTGTTGGCGGAGCGTAAACCCACGGGTCTGGAACTACAGTTACAAGCTGCTCCTAATAAGGGGTTGGGTGGGGATGGAAAGGCTTTGGGGGCCGGGGAGCAGAGGTGGTCGATGCACAGGGATTTCCCCGGGTACTTGCAGAGTCATGAACCGCGAGGGGGGGTGTGTGGCGAGAGCTCAGGTCAGCTCGTATCGCAGGGCCGGAGATCGGCGGGGACAGACACGTCCGCGCGAGGACCCCGCTTCCAGCCCACCCAGGGCGATTTGCTCCGGCGTGGCCGCGAACTCCTGCAACCCACGGCTGCCGGAACGCGTCTGGAGTTCGGTCGGCGCCGCGCTCCGGCCTGGGCGGGCCGCGGGAACCGGTGGCGCCGGGGAGCCGGGGCGGCCGGCCAGTCTCCGAGGAGTCGATCGGCTCGCCCCGCACGGGTGCCTTCCTCCGCGGCCCCTCGCCTCGTTCTCCCCTGACTTTCTCCCCCTCCGCTCTCCCTTCCTCCCGGCCATCTCCTCTTCCTCCTCAGCAGTTGGGTTCCTGCGCGCCCCCTTCGTGCCCCCAGAACAACTTGGGTCCCAGGCACTGCTGGGCGGTGAGGCTTCCGCGAGCCACGGGCGGAGCGTGGGATGGTAGTGGGGGAACCGAGGGGGCGGGGAGGGGGACACCCCGGCTCTAGGGCGCGCGCCACAAGCTGCTGCGCACGCGCTCCCGGGGATCCAAGTCCGCCAGGATTTTCCCGTGAGGCCGCCGCGCTCGGCGCCGCTGCTGCCTTCCACCTGCGCCCTGGGCTGCCCTGGGTCTTCCGGAGAGGAGACCTCCCTCTGTACCCGGGGCGCCCGAGGGCGCACCAGGGGCTGCTTTGCAATAGGAGGACGCTTGGGACTCGCCTTAAACGCCGATGACCTTGACCAAAGTTACCTGCCTTCTCTGGGTCACGGGTTGAGTCCTTTAAAACGAAAGCGTGTACCTGGTGCCCTCCGAGGCCGCTGCTGAACTGCGCGAGCTGGGCGCTGGCGCAGGCTCTCCGGAGCCAGGTCCACGTCCAGGCAGAGACCGCAGCGAGGACTGATCATCTGTCCCCATCCGCAGGCTTCCGAGGACGCTGCAAGCATCCCAAGCACCAAGCGATATGCCACTTTCCCGCCAGCAGACACCACCAGTTCCTGGGTTCCTAAGTCGTCCGTTTTCAGGCTCCACCAGGGTTGTTCACGCACATGGTCCAGGTATATCAGACCACAGAGAAAAGCATTATTTTGGGCCAAGGTAGTTTTATATTTAAACAAATGTTCACCGACAGTGTGCCAGGAGCCGCAGCCTATTGTTTTAAGGCACACAGCCCTGAGGGTATGGTGAGTAGAAAACATGATCCCATTTTACAGATGAGGGAGCTGAGACTCACAGAGTTTCAATGACGACCATCAGGAAGTGGCTAAATCAGGATTCAAAACTGACTTTGTCTGATGCCAATCCAGTTGGGTTTTCTACTCTTACCGGTTTTTCTCATAAACCTTTACGTTTATTCTCATTCAATGTTTCCCTTCGTCTTCCTTACCCTTTTCAATGTACTCATTCATCAGAAAAGGAGCTCTGAACTTAAGGAAATCAAAGGAGCAATTCAGGCAGGCAAATCTAACGACTTTTTTTGTGTGTTTCGTGCATTTCAAAATAAAGGACATTAAGGCCTGCTGATATGAACCTGAAGCTTGTTATGTAGAAAGAAACACCATTATTATTATATCACTACACTAAACCGAGTGTAGAGGGAGGCAGCCAGGTGATGGAAGTTCGTTAGGTTCAGAAATTTGGGGACTTGGGCTTTGCTCGAGGCTCTGCGATGCAGTGATACGACCTCAGGAAAGACACTTTCCTTCGGAGTTTGGTTTTCTTACCTGTAAAAAGCCAGTGTTGGAGATCACCTCTCAGGGTTAAAAAGAAAAGCACGGTTTGGCGAACCCGCCTGGGTACAGTGGAGGACGAGCGCCACCTAGTGGGGATTCCTGCAGGATGTGTGGCGTACCGATCTGGTGAAGTACGAAAAAGAAAACGTTGCTTTCACGAAACGGAATTTTTTTTTCTCTCTCTCTTAGTTTTATGTTTCCATAGTCTCACGTTGTCAGTGATCTAATAGCGGAGGTGTTCCAGTTTAAAAACTCATGCAGACACCGTCCGGACCGCCACTGAAATCAC